AGAGCGATTCCTCACAGAGGCTGCTCTCCAGCTGAGCTGCAGTCAYGTTTGCTGCTGTTTCTGTCTAGATGTGACACGAATCTCAAGCAGAGTGCAGAGCTGTCGGGGTCAGCATGGTCTATATTCCCTCAGATGCAATAGGCATCTAAGTGCAGTTTTTTTGTAGGAATTAACTCCAAATGATGGCCCTGTTGATTTAAAGCAAACAAGATGGGAATGCTGAAAGCGAGTTTGAAATTGCCCAGTAAATTTCTCTATCTTCTCAAGGAGCAGGCTGTTCCACCCATACTGACTCTGGGTTCACAGTCATATAGAGAGGAGGCATTTCCAGAGGACACCTTCACAGCACTCCAGAAAGCCAAGTCCCTTTGCAGTGCCACCAATGGACACTCCAAAATGAAGTCCTCAAATCCACAAGCGAAAACATGAGCTCACCTTTGGGACCTCCATGAGAGGCAGGGACGTATGACTTCTACCAATGTTCACAAAACATTTTGGTCTTAGAATATAGATGGGTTTCTTGGGAGTTAGCAAGTAAAGTGCTGTTGTACTCAGGCTTAAAATTTAAAATTAAAGAAAACAGCTTTGTTAATAAATGTGGCCTTAACCTCAAGCTACTTTTCAGGCAGGTGACCACAGCTTGCTGGAAGTCAAAACAGAGACAAATTAAAATCTAAAGTTGCTTTAAGGTACCAGCTTAAGCTAATTTGGGAATTCACAAATGTGAAGCCTAGACATGTTTTCTGGTACTGCTAAAAGGTAGAGTTAGTTCAACCACCTTAACCCAGGCTTTTCTAGCTTGGGTGCTTTACCCAATTAATCTTCTGTTTTTTTGCATGCCTGGTTTCTAGGATCATTACTCCATCTAATATCCTCTCAGTATATGGAGCTAAATTTCATACTTACATTTCAGGGAACACCTTCTTGTTTGCAATGGGGACTTTTCTGGGACTACTAAAGAAAATAACATACTCTGTCTCTGTTACCTTAAGAATAAATTAAAACAGGAATTGTTCAGCAGTGGAATGACCTTCTGATTCCCACTGACAGTGGCTGATATCGGTCCGCGTGCGTCTCCTCGGCCACCAGTAGCACCTGCAGGCTGGTGGCTGTAACTATCTCCTGTGCAGTGAATTCTGACCAGCASTGTCCCCAGTGCAGTGTCTGATGCTGAATGTCACTCCTGCAGCGAGCAGGGCAGCAGAGCCAGCTGAGCTGGGCACTGCCACATCCCATGAATGCTTCTGTCTCCTGCTAATGCAAGGAGCATTTAGAGGTACCTAAGAGGAGGTGCAGGTACCGTAAGGGTCACTGCTCCAGCACCCCACTTGGAGCAGGGCTRTCCTTGCTGGTAGATCAGTGTGATGGGGCTTTGTCTGGCTGCAACTTGGAAACCTCCAAGACCAGAGTTCCCCTTCTTGGCTGACCAGCCCCCGGGCTGCAGCACCCTGTGGAAGAAGATCTGAAGGCCAACCTGAACCTGCCAGGCCCCAGTTTGTAGTCGTAGCCATCTRCTACTTCCCTGCTTCTGCATTTGACCCACTCAGCAGAGCTGGGGTCTCCCCTTGGCCAGGGAAGCGGGGATGGGGCTGCACTGCTTTGGGTGGGGGATGCACCACTTTGTGCCTTCCTCCAAGCAGAGCTGGCGCTGGAGGGCTGATCCAGGAAGGGCTGTCACCTTAGGACGTGCTTGTGGCAGATGACCTTCAAACCAGCATCCCATAGCAGCAGTTCTTCAAGGTCTGCAGCCCTCAGCATGTCACCAAGTCCCCCCAGGGCCTGGCAGAGCATTGGTAGCCCCGAGGCAATGCAAGGTAACCCCAACACCTTCCCTTTCTTGCAGACCCAGTGCTGAGCAGCACTTACCCATGCTGGCTGATGGAACACCGGGCTCGCTGGTGAGCCTTGAGCAGAGCACTGGGGTTTTGTTTGGATGACTAGCCTCATTTTCCTGCTTTGCCATAATCCTCCTAGCGTTGGTGACTATCAYTGCACGGAAAAAATAAAACAAGCCGGTGATTATGCAGCCACGGTGCCAGCTCTCCTGCTCAGGAACTGCCCTGGCACAAAGCGTTGCCCCTGCTCCACCTCCAGTTTGCCTTGAGGTTTTTCCATTTGCTTCTGCAAAATCATATTTGCTGTTCCCCATTCTGAAAAGTGGATTCCTACTGTGCCTAGGTCTCCCAKGCAAGACCTTCTGGAGTGGCTTTGGCCAACAAAAGCTCATAGAAAAAAAAAAAAAAGAGAAACAATAAAAGTGGATAGAGTTGCAGAGCAAGCAAGGACCAGGCAGATAGGCCAGCATCCCAGAGCCTGGTTCCTCATCCCTTCTACCCCAGGTGCTGCTGCAAGGTGCTTAGCACCCAGGAGACCCAAATTCTGGCCAGCAGCTTTGCTACAGACACAGAACTGCTGAAAGACACACCAGCCACCACAGAGTGGCCCTGCCAAAGGGCTCAACCACTGACAGCATTGGAAAAATGATCCAAAGGGGGCTGTATTTGAGCTGTCATGGTCCTGTCAGCATGAAAACGTTCCCTTCCCTCACATGGAGGCCTGTACTTGTCCTTTCTGCCATCTCTGCTCCCTGCGCTGCCTTGCTGTGCAGCCGTGCAGGCCCAACACAACAGAGGCCTGAAGCTGCAGCCTTCCTGGTGTTGGGAGCAGAGTTTCCATCTCTCCTTGAGCTAGGAGGGAGTATGCTGTGTGCTCAGGAGCAGAACCTGCCAGTCCCTTGGAGCTTGGCCCTGGCAAACACAAGCACAGCAGCCCATGTGCTGGCCCAGCTCTGCTCATGCTCTGGGAGGTCAAATCTCTRGCCCCGAGTTGTTGAGGGAGACAGTGAGCCAAGGTTGAAGAGGCCTCAAGAGGCTGGCTTGGGAAAAGAGGGATTCAGGGGAAGTTCCCCAACTCAGATCCAGCTGGTGTGGGGAAAGGAGCAAGAAGGCTCCACAGTGCAGGCAGGGCAAGTGGAGGGGAACTTGTCTCAGTCAAGGGCCAGGCAGGGAGAGTCCGATTAACAACCCTTCAATCCCTCACAGCACSCCGGGCTCCTGCAGCACCTACTGCACTTTTGCCGAGGGCATTTTGCTCACCCTACACTAGCCCCCTACCCCAGCAGACAGGACTTGCAGCCCCTGCCCTGRCACAGGTCTCCCTGAAAGCCACCTGGGCCTCACTGCCACCTGGTTTGATCTCACCTCCTTTATCCCCACTCCCTTGCTACCTGCCAAACCTTCCACAGGCAACAAGCCCTGCAGAAGCGCTGCTGAACGGAGCAGCTTCCAGGGCAGGTGAGAGGCAGTGCCCCAGCTGGGCAAGTCCTGCAGCTGACATTCTGTCCAAGAGACTGAGGAAGAGAATTTTCATAGCTAAGATGCAGCCCTGAGTACAGAGGAAGAGGAGCTGGTAATTACCCCCACAGCAATTCCATCGTTTCCCCACCAAAAAGGGGCTGTGAGGCACTGAGGGGTCCCCATGAGGACCGAGAGGTGCCAGGATCCAGGCAGGGACAGGGGTGAAACACTCTGCTCTGGCTGCTCAGGGGTCAGCCCCACACCAACAGCAGGGCTGCAGGTTCCAGCAGAGCTGCAGTTTCCAGCAGAGCTGCAGGTTCCAGCAGAGCTGCAGGAAGGCGCCGGGGCAGAGCCACAATCTGGCACTCTGCTCAGAGCAGCATTAAAATGCATGAGCTGCACTAGCCCTAATGATGAGCAGAGCTGTCAACAAGGAGCTTGTCCCGGCTAATTATCTCTAACAAGTGCAGAGTGTCAGGCTCCCTGAGGAGCTGGGCAGCCGCTTCCCACTCAGCTCAGCTGCAGAAGAGCAAGAAGGTAACTAAACGTTATTCTGTTGGCCCAGCTAAGAATCATTAATTAGGCAAATGTGACCTTCTGTGCAAATTTGCTCTTGGGGGCTCTGGCTTGTCAGAGCTTGGTCACGCAGGCTGGAATTACCCCAGTTTCAGCCACCCRGCTTCCCTCCTGCAATGCTGAGCATCCTGAACCCATGTCCAGCACTGCCAGCCTGGCACCACGGCCACAGCAAACTCACCTGCTCGCTCAACCACCTCTCGCCAGGGCTCCAGTCTGCTCCCAGATCAGAGGGTCACAGAGAAGTCTCCTGTTGTTCATGAAATGTCATCATTTAGGCTATAAGCCCCTCTACCCTCCCACTCCTCCTCAGCACAGCCTACAGAATCCCTACCTGGCAATCACCGCTCTGCAGTTACACCCTCAAGAGAGGTATAAGGGCTGGGAATTCCTGCTCCCCTGACACCCTACACTTCACTGCACAGGGGACCAACTACAYGCTGCTCTGGAAGCTCAGGTCCCCTCTAATCACGGATCTTTTAGCTCAGAAAACAARACGGTACCTTCAGCCTTATGTGCTGGAGAGGGGAAGCACATCTCTCTCCAAGATGCAGTTAAGGGAGCCAGCAGCAGTCCAAGATGAGGCTTACACAAAACACCCTGCAAGCTCTGCACTCCTCCCTGACCCTGCAGCTGCAGGGAAAGGGAGGACAGGCTGCTTTTTCTCCACCGTGAAACCCCATGCAGGGAGGACCATGGAGCTTGACAAATGATGCCAGAATGACAGAGTCCTGTTCAGCAGTGTGTAATTATGGTAAGTGCTCCCTGAGCTCTTCAGTTTCTTGTTGCCGGACAGGAGCAAAGGCTCAAACACCCATTTCAGTTAAACTTTTACCAAAACAAGGTTTGAAAGGCATGAACTTGAAACAGAATCAGAACCCAAGGGCTGAGCTGTGCAGCAGCTGCAGCCGTGACAGGGCAGCTGAGCCCCACCTGCCAGCAGGCACCCGCCTGTGACACACAGTTTGGGCCCCGCTTCCAGGGCAGGACAATCTCTCTTCTGTAGAACAGGGCTGGGACCCTGAACTAAGTTACACCTGTAGGTCTTGCAGCTTGTGCTGTAGCATATCAACGAGCARTGAACAGCAAAGTTTACTGGTATTGCAAATATGCATATTTCATTTTACACCACAGATCAAGTTCTTAACAGCAGTCAACTATTTGCACAGGCAGAAAGAACCACATTAAGTCAGTCCCCTGCAAATCCCTTCAGAAGCCACAGGGCAGAAATTCCTTTCTCACCCAACAGGAACAGTTCCTCATTGAATTTAAGCTGCTAGTGTTGGACTTTGATAAGCGCAACATGCTCCTGGGAGCACAGGTATCAAATGTGGCCCTTTCCACACTAGCTCTGACAGAAGACTCACTGAATCCCACAGCTTGATCTGCAGTAGAGAGTTGCTTCAAAGACTTCTTTTCTTCTATTTCTTCTGAAGTGCCTCTTCTTTCAGTTTGTTGACGAGCTCTTCAGCATATACTTTAAAGAGTGGGACAGGGTCCTGCAAGTGGAAGGTAAGCTAGTTGAAAGGACTGAACCTGAGCAGCAGCAAGGCAAAAAGAAAAAGTCTAGTAGTGCGTAAAGAGCATCCTGGCTACAACTCCAACTGAGACACCGCACTACTAAAGCTACTGTCACTCAACCACTCYACTCCCTGGCAAGGGCAACGGCCAGAGGCCTGGAAAGTGCTGGTTACAGAGCCAGGAAGAATGAGCATCCCTCACMCCCCAGATTTGTGGTCTCTGATGCTGGTGTGACTCAGAAATAGCTTCACTCCTCAGAAGAAAAGGGCACTGCCCTCTCATGCTGCACTACATGAGCTGCAGTGAGGCACACAGGGAGAATATGCTCCTTCAAGCTGGGGCCCCACAAGGTGCAGGTGCCCAGCATCACCTCATGCAGCTGGTGCTCCTGATCTCTGTTCCTGCTGCAGCTGCAACAGGAGCTAACAGAGCAAGGGCAAATATCACCTAGAGAGCCAGACAGGGAGCCCTTTTGCCTCAGCGACTACCTGGGGTGCTCCTCACTCTGTGTTATGGCCTCTCACCAACTAGCGAGCCCCAGTGACTGAAGTAAAACAGAAGGTGACCGAACACAGAGATAGTCATGCAAAAGGGGACAAAATATGAGCCACTCTCACTAAAAATCCCTCTCCAGTTTGGGAGAGGCAGCTTTACAATGCACTTTAACCCAGCCTGGGTTTCACACGCTTAACCCCCTGCAGCACCTCAGGAATTTTGGAGCAGGGTACCTGTTGGGAAGGAGTGCTCGAGCAGCCTGGATGGTGTGCAGCCTGATGCAGCTAAGGCTGCACTCACAGGACAAGCACTGCCTCAAACTCACCTTCTTTTCCAGAAGCCTCTGTTTTTCTATTGCTTCTTCTAAACTCAGGCCAACCCATTCAGCCTCCTCTTCTGGAATCACAAACTCCTGTATTAAAGAAAAGAAACTGGTGGTTTAACTTTCCTCCAGGTGACTGATACAGAAATCCTCTCTAGGACCAATTCACCCAAACACAGGATCAAGTAAGAACAGGACTAGAGCCAAAAGACTTAGATCCCATTTCCTTGGCATCACATTTTGGCAGGTAAATTTCCAAGAGCCTTCCTTTCTCTGGCTACTCAGACGTGTTGCTCTACCTCTTCTTCCTACAGTTCTGTGGCTGTTTCTCTGCACAACCCTGTGGGTCATGGATTCCAGCCTTGTTCCTACACTTGTTTCAGCAGCTGCACAACATTGAACAATCACACAGCACAACCAGCCCCTCTCGCTGCAGTATAACTGCAAACACTCACACTATTAGGAGTGCCAGATCTTACTAATGCTCATTGCAGACCCCCAGTCACCTGGTTGACACCTAAAAGAGATTTAGGAAGGTTTAGAAAGGTTTAASCTTCCTAACCAACCAGTAGTGAAATCTGTGGGCCTCAGAGAAACAAGAACCTGGCAAGTAACCTGTAGGTCTCCTCCAACCATACCCTTAGCCCTAAAGCCACAAGCACAAGCTCTGGCTTGGGTAGCACAGCATGAATGGGATGTTATTGCTGGGGACAACCAGCAAACATGAGCACGGGCAGYGGAGCAGGACGCACCCGATACTTGTGGTAAATGGCCTCCCTCCGGGCTGGGTCGTCCGGGTGCAGCGCGGGGTCCTTCCGCGCCAGGCGCAGCAGCATCGTTCGCTTCAGGTCCATGCCGAGCTTGGAGCACATGTCCACCTTGGGGGTCTGCAGAACGAAGCCTCATGGCGATACAGGGCTCCCMTAGACAGAGGAGAGCCACCAGCCCGGGGACAGCGCAGGCGACCCATCCACCCCACACAGGCCCTATGGGGACAAGGGGGAACGAGTCCCCAGCCTTTACTGCAACTAACATGGTTGGGATCCGACTGAGCTACTTAAGTCAAGCRGAAACCTGGAAGCTCTAGGGCTGCACAACACAGCAAGCAGATCCCCACGTGCACGTGGCTGGGGGGGACGCGGTCACCACCTGGCCGGGGTCCCGCCAGGGCGGTCGGCTGCCCCGCGCCGCTCTTGCCTTGAGGATGTAGAAGTCAAAGCCGAAGGCGTCGTCGATGAGGTCGAGCGTGCGCATGGTGACGGTGATGGTGAGCGTGGCGTCCAGGATCTCGCTGTAGAACTGGCGCGTGAACAGCTGCGGCTTCCACGTCTTGGGCAGCCGCGTGGAGAGCTGCGCGGGGCGGCCGTGAGCACCGGGCCCCGGGCCGCCCGCGCGGGCCCCGCCGCCGGGCACTCACCTTGTCGTTGCGCGCGTAGCGGAAGCCGCGCACCCAGCCCTCGCCGCCCCAGAGGCCGCGGTGCGCGGCGGGCGGCAGGTGCACGGGCACGGGCACGTCCTGCAGGCGCTCGAGCCGCCCGCTGCGCGGGTCGTAGCGGTGGCGCAGGCCGTGCGGGCGC